CGCTAATGTGAGGCAACTACACATTGGCATGAACGGCAGTGTCCTGTACAATGGCACCCAGTCTAAGTTCTTTCCCATCCAAACCGGGGAAAACAAGGATGTGTATTGGCTCCAAATGTTTTCCATTTTCTTGGCTGCCTTCCTTACCCATGCCAGTGCCAATTTAGCTGGCTGGGTGAACATCCAGTTCCGGATGAAGGGACTTTTCAACATAAGACCACTCCAGGCAGGAACAAAGGTGTCGGCTGCTTCGATTACTAAACTTCAGTATACAGACGACCTCACCCTCGTCTCTCACACTGAACGCGACCTACAGGAGATCCTGGTGCAACCACTCCTTCACCATCCATCCAGCTTAACGGTACTACGCCGACATCGATGAAAAGATTCAACATCGGATCAGATGTGCATCTCAAGCCCTTGGCACATTCCGTACCCGTGTCTTCAGCTGTAGGGAGCTGAAATTATCTACAAAGTTGCATGTATATCGAGCAGTGATCCTCCCCACCCTACGTTCCATTATCTGAATTCGGTGGGAAGACAAAGAACAAATGCCAGTATTCTCACTGACACCAACTGTAGGAGCATCAAGGCTACCATTATCTATGAACTACTACATTGGACTGGCCATGTTATTGGCATGGACGACAGTAGACTGCCAAAGCAGCTACTTTACAGTCACTTAACGAATGGTAAACGTAACGCTGGCGGGCCAATGCTTTCGAGTTAACCCGACTGCATACCGAGGCAGATAAGCGCCAGTGCCGGAAAGACGCTGTTGCCGCCCATCCCGCACTGGATTTAACAGTCCACATATGCAACATCTGTGGGCGATCCTGCCGGTCTCGTATCGGTCTCTAGAGTCACCTCAGAGCTCACCAACGAAGGTAACATCCTTAATAACTCATATCATTGTATAGTTGGATGATTGTCACACTCGACTCTCAGAGATAGCAAAGTAGTGGTAGTGTATGTGTGTGCAATAATAATAATAATAATAATAATAATTAACGGTTTATTGAAAGAGCTTGGCAGCCAGAAGGCTGAAAATATACAGTTACATATTTGGGGAATGGGTTACGAATTACAAATAATATACAAGTAACATAAGTGACACAAATAAGACATATAATAACTTAGATGGGGATCAGCTCGAACTACAGTTCATTTCAACATAGTGACAGTGTAAGGAGCAGTGTTTACTGGGAGTGAATACACTGATTTATTACATGTTATTGATAATTTTTACAATGGTTGGGACTGGGCTGTTCTTATAGCGATCAGTTCGTGCACGTATGGGCTGGATGCGGTTGTGGTGTCGAACAGCAATTCTCGGACAGGGGATCTCAGGTGGTAGTAGGGCCGGTGTCGGGGATGGTGTAGAAGCTTCTTACCAAATTTGCAGATGAGGTCGTGGTGATGGTCAGTGAGAGTCGAAAGGGTCAGTGTGTTGAGCGCTTCTTGATATGTGGAGTAGGAAGGGGAGAGAATAATCTTGCATGCCCTCTTTTGCACTTTTTCTAGGTGTTTACGTTGTGTGGCATTTAGGGAGGAAGACCAGGTGGGGGAGGCATAGGTGAGCTTGGGAAGTATGAATGTTGTGTATACACTGAGGAGCTCGTGTGCAGGAACTCCGAGGGACTTGAGTCGGCGGAGCAGGTGGAGACGGAAACTGGAGGATTTGACAACTTCACTGACGTGTGGTTTCCAATTTAGTTTGTTGTCTATGGTGACGCCGAGGAGCTTCGTGGAATCTACAACCTGGAGTGTGTTCGGACCTAGGGTAATGGAAGGAGGTGGGACAATGTCGGAGGAGAGGTTGATGTGCATAACCATGGTCTTGGTATGGTTGATGGTGACATGGTTGTTGGTGGCCCAGTTTTGGAGACTGTTCAATAAATCCTGAAGGGCGGTATAGTTGGGAGCAGAATTGTTGACGCTGATCCCAATGGTGGAGTCGTCGACATATTTCCAGCGAGCAGGGGTTTCTCTTAGGGCATCATTGATGAGCATAAGGAAGCAGAGTGGTCCCATCTTGGTGCCTTGGGGGACGCCACAGGTGAGTGACTGAAAGGTGGAGACAGCCCCTCGGAAGCGTACAGCTTGGCGTCGGTCACTGAGGAAGTCTGTAAGCCATGGTATGAGACTTCTCCGAAGCCCGAGGTCAATAGCTTTGTTTATGATTATATTGTGGTCGACTAGGTCGAACGCTTTAGTGAAATCAATGAAGGCGACAGCTACAGACGTTTTTCGTTTCTCGAGATGGCGGTATATGTAATCGAGAAAGCTGACAAGACAGTGAGTGGTGGAGGAAGTTTTCATGTTGCCAAATTGCTGAGGGTCTACGACTCCTGCAATATCAGCATAAGCCCAGTCAAACACAAAACTTTCACAGATTAGGCTGGGTATTGGGGTGATTGCAATAGGTCGTAGCTGATTTAAGGATTGTGGGCTGGTTGACTTGGGCACTGGTGATACATAAGAGGTCTTCCAGTCAGCTGGGCATCTGGCTTGACTGAGAGAAGCATTGATGATGGAGCAGAGGGGTTTAGCAAGCTCCGGGGAGAACTCCTTGAAGAGTTTCATTGGTAAGTCAATGGGGGTGGTAGAGCGTTTTAATTTTAGTTTGTCCAGGCGTTTTGCTACGTCAAATTCTTCTACTAAGTCAGTGGGAAGGGGGGCTGGTAGGTAAGCAGGGAGAGTGGTTGTGTCAAGCCGTGGGAGCGTCTGGCATATAGTAGCGAAATGGTTATTTGTTTGCTCAGCTGCGTCAACATTAGTGAGATGGCTAAGGAAGGGGAGGGGGTGTGTCTTATTGTTTAGTCCACAGAGTTCTTTAAGCTTACCATACCATTGACTGATGTTGGTCTGCTTCAGGTGTTGTAATTTGGTTGGGTAGTGGGACTTCTTTGCAGTGCGTATTTCGCGGATGACTCTGTTGCGAAGTGACCTGTAGCGGATGTGGTCATTGAGATGAAAGGCTCTGTCTCTCTGTTGCATAAGTCTTTTGATCCGAGGTGTGATCCAGGGCAAGTCAGCTGGGTGAGATCTGACGGACTTCTCGGGGAAGAAGTGGTGGTGAGCTTCCGTGGTGGTGTTGGTATAATTTATCCATTTGGTTTCCACGTCATCCACGCTAAGTACTTCAGTCCAGGGATGGTGAACTATCCACTGCCCGAAGAGGCGCACTGCAGAGTCAGTAATCGGCCTGTAGGTCTTGATGTAGGGTCTCTGTACTTGAGTGGGAGTGGCAGCTGGGGACCAGAGCACTGATAAGTGTGTGCTACACCCGATAGGAGGCATTGGTTGAGGTGGTTGGTACTGGTCCGCTAAGTCAGTTAAGATAAGGTCAAGGGTATTTTGACCGTGTGTGGGGAAGGTCACAACTTGTGATAGTGATAGCTGGTCCTGGATATCAGTGGTGTCAATTTCATTTAAATCCCCACATAATACTAACTTGGCACATGGGTACCTAACTCTGAGGTGGTCTGAGGTGGTGATGAGATGATTGATAAGAGTGTCTCTGGTGGGTGATCGAGGCGGATGGTATGCCACACAGATTATAATGGAAGCAGTGTTGCGTGGGTGTGCCCGCAGCACGACACGTACCCATAATGCTTCCACATCTGCTGGGACTTGAACATCCAGGCGTGACGGGCGTAGGTCATCTTGACAGAAGAGGGCAACGCCCCCTCCGCGTCTTTGTGAACGAAGGTGATGAAAGAGTTGATATCCCTCAATATGACACGTTTCAGGTACAATTTGCCAAGCCTCACATATGGCAACGACGCTCGCGGCGGTTGACCTGACTGTAGTTGCCAGCTCGTCGAACTTGTTAGCTAGGGAAGTGACGTTGGATAGCAGTAAAGACGGGAGATCATACCATATCCGTGGAACTTCAGTGTGGTGGTATGGTCTGTCAGGGGTGGGTTTCTCCGGTTTCCTAGTGGAGGTTACGGTTCTAATGGGCTTATGTGCATGGCGGCCTTGTCTACGGCTCCGCGCGTGGAATATTTTCAGTGACTTGAGTAGCGCGATAACACTGCCATCAGGATAACCGTTCCCACGCTTTAGATGGTACAGAGTGCGTCGGGAGTAAGTGATTGGTGGCCATCGGTTGAAATCTGTTGTGGGCGGACGGAAGTGTTTGTCACTGGCGGCACTTTGAGGGACACTGACACTGGTAGACATCTGTTAATATTTGTCAGTCGTAAAGACCGTGGTCTTTGTCCCTGGTGCTTGGGGTCGCCGACACAGTTTTCACGATATATGTAAACACCGCGGTGGTCCTTGTCACTGGCACTTTAAAGTTGACCGATAAAGTGCCCACTGTCTGACTTTTCCTTGGGGTGCACTATCGAGCACTGTATGGTAATCACTTATTGCACTGATGACTAAAATGTTTTGCCGAGAAAGTTCCTTAAGTGCACTATAGGAACACTGCTCCGTAATCAATCGTTCACTAATCACTAGAATGTTTTGCTGAATCGATCCTGGTGTAGTAAGGCTGGTAGGGCGTTGGGGTATAGCAGGGGGAGTGGGCAGGGCCAAACAGACTCGGCCTGGCTGCTGAAACCGGGAGCGCCTTCGGGGCACGTCTTATCTCACTGAGGGTTGACAAGTGTGTGTGTGTGTGTGTGTGTGTGTGTGTGTGTGTGTGTGTGTGTGTTAGATTATTGATAGATTTAATGATCTCTATGTGTTTTAAGTTACTTCACTTGATGAGGATAATTGATGTTGATGGCGATTAATGATGATAATGATGATAACAATAATAATAATGAGAAGGATTAATCTTCATTAGTGTTGATGATGATGATGATGATGATTTATGATATGATGTATGATGATGTTATGATTTAAGATGATATGATTTATGATGATGATTTATGATGATTAATAGTTATGATTGATAAGATTGCTGATACTATAACGAACTCCCCACCATCACACACCACAGCCTCTCCCTGTAACAGTGTTTGTGTCTCCCCTGATAGAGGTGGAGCAGCAGCAGTTACGTGACGCGGGCTTCCCTCTGATAGGCTGCATCAACTACCTGTCTCCTCACTACGCCGAAAGCAACGAGAAGAATGACTGGGTGCAGAGTAAGTCTGGGTCTGTCTCTATCACTTCCTCTTGCTCTCGCAGCAACAACAGGAATGACTGGGTGCAGAGTAAGTCTCTCTATTTCTGTCATACTCAACAACATGCTACCTACTCCCCCGTCTTGTTCACTGGCCTCCCCTTACCCTTCGACTACGTATAAATCTCCAAGTTTCCTCTTCACGTTGGCTTGCTTTCCCTCTCTCTCTCTAGCCCTCGTGTACGTCTTGGTTCATTTCGTCTTTGTAACTTGCTTTTACTCTTTTTAGCTTCCACGTATTTTTCTCTTCGGCCCCTTCAATTTGTATTCACTCATTTGTTCTTATATTTGCTCGTGAGTTTTTTTTTTTTTGCAAGTATATGCATGAATATTGCCAAGTTACTGCCTTTACTAAGCCTTAAGGGGTGCTAAGTAATGGCAAAGTTGCTCTCAAACTCTAAAAATAAAAAGTCACTTAAGAGATACCGTTGTGAATATAAACCTAATATACTTTATTCTTTTTCAAAGGTTGAGAAATTCAGATTTACACAAACAAAGAGATTCAAAGTTGACCTCTGTTAATACTGTATTGTCGAGTATTTTCCTTTCTGTTAGGCTGTATCCTTCGACTGTCCTCCACAAATAGCTGCCACTACCTGCCAAAGCCTCTCGACGTCCCTCTACTAGCCACTAACCCACACCATCACTTCATCCCTACTTCACATACTCGCCACTAACCACCACCATCACTACATCCTTACTTTCCCATACTCGCCCCTAACCACGCCACTGCTACCATCATTACCACTAGTTCAGTCTCTTTCAAGATTCTTCGAACACTGCTGGAGACAGCTGGCAACACAAGGCCGTTTGTTTACTATAGTACGTAGTATAATATAATACGAAACAACAAAGCCCAACCATTAAATTAAGCAACGGGGAACTAAGTAACCAATCACAGATCACTTTTACATTTATTCATACTTTTTACTACGTACTATAGTAAACAAACGGCCTTGAGTTGCCAGCTGTCTCCAGCAGTGTTTGAAGAATCTTGAACGAGACTGTACATGTGTCAACCTACCAATACCTCCGTATTAACCTCTTTAACTAGCCACTGAGTCACCACCTATCATAACAAACCCTCTTCCATCACCACCAACGACAACACTACTCTGCCACTGGGGACCGGAAAAAAGCCCCCCGGACAAAAGCTCCTTGGACAAAACCCCCTCAGTTAAAGTGCAAAATAGCAAAATATGTTTGGTAATGTTATATTATATTAGGTTACGTTACGTTACTTTAGGTATTGCAGTCTTATGATATAATAAATGTAATACAGTATTTTATATGTCAAAGAAGTGTTCTTAAACTGTAAATAATAAAGAAGAAAAATAATTATTTTAAATTTTCGAATTATTATTTGTCCTACAGTAGGAAGCTTTTAACCCAGGGTTTTTCCTTACTAAACTCCAGGCCACTTCCCCCCTGTACCATAATGATTTTTAGCCCCGCCTTACACCCCTAACAGGCTCTTAACCTTCCCTGGCGTCTTGTACTCGTATGGCTTGTGGCTCTAAATAATATGTTTACCCTCTCTAGTGCTCCTTTAAGTGATATCACCACACTCCTACTAGTAACTCGCACCTCATACCACCACACCCTTACTAGCATTTCCCTCTCCACACACCCACCCTCTTGCTGATACCTGCTAAATTCTACGAGCATGTCTTAATAGCACCACTTTTAGAATCTCCAGTAGCACCATTTGCTAGCTTTTTGCTTACCCAATCTACTGCTGACAGCACTTCTACACCATCCAACTAGCACCTCCACCTCCACTAGAACCAATGTAGCCATCTTGAATAGCACCCGCCCATTCCAATTAACAGCACCGCATCCTACCATTTAGCATCCTCTCCCCAATTAGAACCTAAGCCCCCAATTAACACCTTCTCACCCCAATTAGCACCCCCAATTGACACAACCAACTTCAATTAATACCTCCTTAACCCAATTAGTCCCGTCCCTCAGTTAGCACCCCCTCACCTCAATTAGCTCCCCTTTACCCCAATTAGGACCTCCTACCCTCATTAGCACCTATTTCCCCCCAATTTGCACCCCTCGCCCCAATTAGCACCCCTTCCCTTCCCAATTAGCACCCCTTCCCTCCCACAATAAGCACCCCTTCCCTCCCCCAATTAGCACCCCTTCCCTCCCACAATTAGCACCCCTTCCCTCCCCCAATTAGCACCCCTTCCCTCCCTTCAATAAACACCCCACACTTCGACATTCTCCTACTTCTCACCAGGAATGCAGAATCTAAGCATTTCGTGCTCGCTGGTGTGTTGTATCCTGCTGGGGGCGTCGGCGGTGGTGGGCAGCTTTGGCATCATCCAGCGACAGATCTCCGCCGTCCTCATCACTGGCGTCATGTACATTCTGGCCAGTGAGTATTGTACCTACTGTTCCCCCTCCCTTTCTTTCTCCCTCCCTATCTTCCTTCCTCCCTCCCTCTCTTTCTTCCTCACTCTCTTTCTCCCTCCCACTCTCCCTCCCTCTCTTTCTCCACTCTTTCTCCCTCCCTCTCTCTCTTCCTACCTTCCTTTCTTCTTCCATCCTTTCCTCACTGACGTTGTTCTCCCATCCTTTGATTGAAAAAGACTTGTTATTTTAATTTGTGTTCGATTTTCATATTCTCATCCTCATACAGAAATGCTTAGTCGTTGTTTACATTATGCTTCTCGGAGTATGCGATGTTGTGTGTGTTTTTTCAGACTAGTTTACTGTTTTCTGTATATTCTTTAATTTATTTTTAAGTTCGGCACAAAAAATACTTTCAGGGTATGGAAAAATAATAATAATAATAATAATAATAATAATAATAATAATAATAATAATAATAATAATAATAATAATAATAATAATAATAATAATAATAATAATAATAATGATAATAATAATAATAATAATAATAATGTACGACCCGGGAGGGTGAGTCAACACCAATACGTCCTCTGCTCAAGACTCTTGTCCTCAAACAATCGGTGGCATCTTGCATGACTCACTCTCACGTCCGCCACTAGCTCCCCATTTGTGCTTCCTTGTTGGTGGGTGTGGGTCATCATACGGTGAAGTCAGGCTACCGTATTGCATATCTTATATGTCTATACAGTTTGTATTGATAGAGGCACAGTTGTGTAGAAATTAAATGGAGAATTACAGTACAGTAGCTGAAACTGAGAACATAAACTTGAGTGAATCCATAATTCTTATGTATATGCTGTTTTGATAACACATTTTTGTGTCATGTAGATGAAGTGCTTTTAATTTTCATGAAGTGCAACCACCTCGTATTAACAATCTGTATCATAGTTTGGGACGACTCGCATATCACACACACAAGTTTGACATCATGACGGGAAGACCAAAGATTGCAGGAACTGGTAGTGCTGACTCAGACTCGGATAGACTAACAGGGCAAACAGCGTTGCATTGTAGGAAAGTATTATTTTACTATGTATATCTGAAATTTAGAGTAAATAATATAACATTTCAAAAGCTACAAATAGTGTAACAGCAGATAGCCCCAAAACGGGTCAGACATCGATCTGTGTACAGCATTTTAATGAACAATTTTACTGAAAATACATCAACAACACAAAAAGGTGAAAAATAGAATTTTTCTCTTTACTAGCTTGGCGCCCTTTCCAAGCAGCTCCTGCAAATACAAATCCGTGTCGGGGTTTAGGACAGTAGACTACCCCGTAACTGGTAGCTGGGGGATAACTAAATGGTTGGCCATCTCATCTTGTCACAGTTGACGTTCTAAAAAGAGAGACTGGCAATAATGGTGTCCTCTAGAGGCAGGGGAACTATAAAGTAAGTAGTTTTTTCAAGAGCAGCACAGACTTTGCTCCTGCTATGGCCACCATTTTGATTTCAGTCAATCCACCACTTTATATTCAGTCCCCAGGTGCCTATCACAGAGAGTGACTGTCTCAATCTGCTCTGCCTGTTAAGGATAAGTATCGTGCCCTGACCTGGTAGTTCTTTAAGGAGTAGTGAAGTATACCACAGTTCTAGGTGTGTTTACATCTAACCGGCTCTTCCAAAACCAATTCAGCGTATCATTAATTGGACTAGCTTTAGCATCAGGGCCAGAGACCACAATTACACTGATCATGCAGAATCTCAGACCACATTACGTTTTTGTGATTTATCAAAGGCTGGGACTTATCCAATAAGGGTTGCAGAGATCCGTCTCGAGGTTTCAAATTAGCTATTAGTAGGTTCTGGCAATTGAAACAACCTTACATGAGGATTTAGCAGATCTGCTTTTGATATCCCTTGTTCCTATGAAACAAGAGAAATTCGTGTGCATACTTGAGATTTGTGTGATTAAATTATACATAACCCTTCAGAGGATTTGCAAGCAGGCCTGCATAGGATATTATACAAGTATCCACTACCTGAGGTCCCCTGCTAATTACGTATCTCCCCTTGGTGAGTTTCGTAGCTCCAGGTCATCCTTACACTCAGGAATATAACATTGGTTTAACCCGTGTTTCACAACTGTTCTCACTGACTATAAAGAGGAGTTAGCTCGTTTAAAACTTACTATTTCATTCAATTTCAATTTCAATAGTTTATTCCTTGATAAAGGAACCGGGATTTTCGTGCTGTCACTGGGTACCCCTGTACAATAATGTCAGAAGCATCTGGCAAGTGTCACAAGTACGATTTCATTGTATTAAAAATGTTGCACTTGTGAGTTTTCTGTTGCGACTAATAATTACACGCTTCCTTAACCCCTTGGGTACGAGAGGTCTCTGAGCTGGATAAAATGGTCTGGCGGAGACCAAATAAAATATTAAATGTAGCGTCCAATAGTGCAGGGGTACGTGGAGTTAGTTTATTAAGTCTGTAAAGGCGAGGTTTTGTTAGAGGCAGGTGGAGAACCAAGTGTCCAGTGTTCCTTACACACTTTGGTTGTTTCCTTAGCATGAGAGGAAGTATTACCAATGAATCCTTGCGGTGTTTTATTTCAAGCTTGTCTCAGAGACTTCGGGAGATCCCCTGATACAAATTTATTTGTGTTCATACTATCAGTGGGAAGAAATTTATTTCTCGTGGATTAAAGGGAATTTTGTCATGGTGTCTCACCTCCCTGTGTTCATCTTCAAATGATGAATATGGCGACTTTATATCCTCAGGAATCCTGGGGTTTTATGATACCTGGAGAATCTCACCCCGAAGTGTTTCTCTTCTGCCTTAATGACGCTGTCTGTTGCAGCTGGGAAGTCAATTTTTCCCAAATTGTGGTTTTAATTTAGAAAGAGCTATGTCTTATTTTTTTTTTTTCATTACGATCGATGCTCTCAACTTTTGCTTCTTACCATATACAGCTATCAGGTTTAAGTGTTTCAGGATAGTCTTGTGTTCTTTACTCTGGGATGTGCCCTCCTACGAGTGTTCTTCTGGAATCCACACACGAGAAGCACCTGGGAGCTTTCACTGAATGACAACACCAGTGGATGATACGACAAGTACAGTCCCCTTCACTAGTGCGTTTACAGGGGTTCGTCAAGTTCTGTGTAGTGTAGCAACCCTATGTTTGTTTAAATTTGAAAGAAGGAAACTCGCAATAGTAAACATACTATAAAATCAAATTAAAACAATATTAAAACAAATATCTCAAAAATAATATTTGTGGAAGACAAGCCCCTGTAAACGCTCTAGTGAAGGGGTCTGTACATTACCATTGTACCTTCCTTTTACAGTTCTGTGGTTAAAGAGAAAAAAATGGTGGACTCAGTGGAGGGGAATGGGGAAAGCGACTTGATTTTATACTCTAATTGTTTGGGATTTCTATTCAAGAGTTCCATATCGTGAATATTTTCTTGTCTCGATTTCGGCTGGCGGCCGGTTTTCGGGGTTTTTTTCCGGTTAACAAATCTATTGACAAAGCTTGGAGTACAGTTTGCCTATCTGAGTAATTAAGTCAGGTCTTGACACTGAGGGTGCTATCACTTCTCACTGCCATGCAGGACAGAGGTTCATACACAAAGAAATAGATCATATTTATTAACAGTAGATATAGGTCAGAGTCATGTGGGTGATATCACTGTTCACTGCCACGTAGGACAGTGGTTCATATACATTAGGAGTCATATTCTAATTTGTGGGTTAGCAAATTTTTCATAAACAGCAAAAATGTCCTCAAGTACCCCTGATTCAATGTAATAATTACTAAGTTCATGATACAATAAGCCAGGTGGTCTGAATTCTTTCACAGTGTCACATTCAATAATGTAGTGTTCAAGTTTATGTTTTAAAGGTTTATCACAAAGTTTACATGCTGAGTGTTCCGGAATAAGTACAGCGTCACTAACTTGCCAGATGTGTCTGTATCCTAGCCTAATTCTGGCCACGACTACATCACATTATCTAGTTCTGTCCTTATGCTGGCCATACCGGTACCTCTTGTCACAAAATTTGTCATATTTACTAATGCTACAACTACCAGGTCTCTCTGCATTTCTCAGTTCTTCTAGATCAGAGTTCATGATTCTGACTTGAATGTTTTTAAGTACAGCAATGGACAGGCCAAGATCACGGTCAAAATTTTCTTTCTTACATGCCTCATTGGCCAGTCTATCAGCACGGTCATGATACCTAATTCCAACATGGGACGGAATCCACAGAAATTCAATTCGAAAGTTGTTCTCATTGGCAATTATCACATTTATTTTAATATCACTTACAACTTTAGACATAAAACCAGACGGACTGTTTATTGATTTCAAAACACTTTCAGAGTCACAGAATATCACCCCACTTCCATTTTTTTTAAAGTAGTCTGTGGCTAAGTAGATTCCCATTAGCTCAGCCTTTGTTCAGCCTTTGCCTGTTTGGCATTATCATCTTTTTTTTTTTATTACAAATGCACAACCTGTTCTACCTGTGTTTGTCTGCACAGAACCATCAGTAAGAGCATAACATTCACTTGATTTAATACTCTCTATGTAACTGTTAATAGTTTCTAATGTAATACATCTCACCACATTGGTGTTTAACATTTGCGTACTACTAACAGGAGCGTAATTAATAGGAACTGATATATCCAGCCAAGGAGGAATGTCATTAATGGGTTCGTCTCGGGCGATTGGTACGTTCAATTTCAAGAGATCTGCAACACTTTTATGAAGCCAAGCGCCAAAGAGAGTCTATTGTGGAAGGTTATCGAGATAGTCGGGATTATTTAAATAGAACAGCAACTCAGTTTGAACTGTAGTTTGGGGACCATTGTTCTTCAAAGGTTTGACACAAAACATGGTATCAAGTAGAGCTATCCTCTCAGATAGAGAGGGCAGCCTGAGCTCTTTCCTCATGTTTACAATTCTGGTTGATTTTGGGCATCCTAGAATGATGCACATGGCTTCATTT